CAAGAGACACGCGTTGCTGAGTAAGACACCGAGGGACATGCACTGCTGGGGGAGAGACTGTGAGAGACTTGTCTGAGAGATGGTGGGCTGGGAGAGAGACTGAGCGTTTTTCCTGAACTTGAATTGTAGCCTGGTGCTTCCCTAATAAACCCCATAATCTGTGAGTTCTGTGTGACCACTGAAGCGAATTATCGAACCCAGGAGAGAGGTGGTGGGTGCTTTGGAAGGAACGGTTGGTGAAAGAGCTGGAGGGAGACAGCATGACTGGCCTTGCAGTAATAGGCCTTGGGCTATTGATGGTGATTTTGTCTTCCTCTTGTGGGGTTCTAGGAGGTCAGAATATGTGGCCTCCTTGCCCTTTTTGCAATAACCTTTTGTAAAACTTGAAATTTTACAGTTGCATGTATTTAAAAAAATTATTTTTAAAGTTCTAAATTCTAAAATGGTGCTACTACTATCAACTGCATACTTTAGGGCACAATATTTAGTTTCCCTGTACCTCAGTTTCCTAAGCTGAATTATTATTTTTACATATAAAGTAAGAGATTAAAGCATTTTTAAAGAATTGAAAGTAATCATTAAGATGATGTTGTTGTTTGCCATCGAGTCGGCCCCGACTCATAGCGACCCCTCCTTGGGTTTCCGAGGCAGTATCACTACGGAAGTAGGATTGCCCAATCATTAAGATATCAAATACTTATGTTACTATTGTTTCTATTATTAGTAGGCTAGTGCAATCTTTAACATTTCTTTCTCTTACAACTTCATTTAAATCCCAGAAAAACCTACCAGTTCCATGGAATGTTGTGCCAACAACACGAACACAACTTGGTACTCGAAGATCCCAGAATCTAACAGTTTTATCTTGAGAACCAGATGCAATCATCCAGCCACTCCAGGTATAAAGTGCTAAAATATGCCCTATAAAAGATAATGTATAATGTTATACTGTGGAATAATACTTTCCTTTAACACATTCAAAGCTAAGTACTCCTTTCCACTGGGCATGTGATGGTCTGGTTAATCAAGCATACTATATGAGAGAGATTTTCTACCTAGATTAAATATATTGGCTATTTTCAAATAATAAAAACTCAGTAAGATGCACAACAGCAAAGCTGTACTGAACAAACAATCTTTCTTTGGTGATGCCATTAGTATGGTAGGCTCTTTCAGTATTTCAGGACATCAGAACTGTTGTTGTTGTTGTTAAGTGCCGTCGAGTTGTTTCTGACTCATAGTGACCCCATGCACAGCAGAACGAAACACTACCCGATCCCGTGCCAGCCACAATCCCTGCTATACTTGAGCTCATCATTGCAGCCACCGTTATCAATCCATCTCGTTGAAGGCCTCACCCTCTTTCGTCAACCCTCCATCCTACCAAGCATGACATCCTTCTCCAGGGAATGGTCCCTTTCTGACAACATGACCAAAATAGGTGAGACAAAGTCTGGCCATTCTTGCTTCCAAGGAGCATTCTGGCTGCACTTCCTCC